AGACTAACAAATTTATTAGAGCATAAGCTTTCGTGGGCTACAACCCACTTCTTCTTATGCTCTAATAAATTTGTTAGTCTCTAAGGTGCCACAAGTACTCCTGTTATTTTTGCGGATACAGACTAACACGGCTGCTACTCTGAAACCTCTCATTATTCAGTACATACAGGGATTGTATTTCCATCAACAGATTAATATATGATACTCTCAGGTGCCAGAAGCTGGTTAATGATTTCAGTGGGAGGTAGTATCTTTTGTAATGATATATAGCGCTGGTCCTTCAATAAGTGCTATATAAAAATTGTTAAAATTATAAGTTAAAAAAATAATATTGTCTTGTGTGTTGATAGGGCACTATTGATAGCACTAATTATGAAATTTTAAGTGGTCTGATGTGATTAAAGATGATATGCTTTGCAGAATATGTAGCAGTTCATTTCTGTGAAGCTCTTAGAATAGGTATGTACAACATGCATCCTAACCCTGTCCTGTGTCAGTGCTAGCTTTAGAAAAAAGCCTTTTTATGCAGCTGTACTTTGACCTAGAAACATTTTTTGGGGGGGTAAGGTGAAAAATACTGTTTTTAATTGATCAGTACATTTTACAAGTGAATATCTAAACCTGGAGTATTAATATTAACAAAATTACATAAAGGCTTAAATGAACTAACTGAAGGTATTATAGTACATATGGAATAATAAAGGTTACAAGAATTAGACAGACAGACATATTAGGTCACCTCGCCCATCTCCATTCCAGTGCAAGATTTTACCAAGCAATATATAAGCAAACATTCTTGTTAGTAGCCAAAATAGCTTGTAATGTGGTCTAGAGGTTGAGATCTAAAAGAATGGATTTCTATGCACAAATCATAATTAAAAGACTTTCTAGTATCTTTCATACAATGCAAAAGATCAACAGAGTATTTCCAGTTAATTATTCATAGATAGTCCCTTTGTTCCTTTTAATTTTGTTCTGAGTATTATAAACTGCAGATTTAAGCAGGAAATAAACTTACAGAGGGCACAGTTTGAAGTTATAACATCCAGCAGCTTCTGGTATGAACTGAGGAGAGCAATCTGCAAGGAGGCTAGTTTGGCATACAGATTTTGTGGTGAAACAGTATAGGAAAGGAAGTGCTACTGCCAACTCTCACCACCATATGCTTGTTTTAATATAGTATGCAGAGAGTGTGGAGACAGCAGCTGCTAAAGGGGAAAGTGGACACTTGCTAGCAGATTTTAAAATCTTTCTGCATAGTTCATTGTCTGGCTATACTGGATGAAGGACAGGAGACACTGGATGTGGTTTAATGAGGCCGCAGCTTTATTATTAAATGTGGGGGCATACCCAGCAGATAAGTGTACAGTGCAGGTACATCCATGATCATTCCAGTATCTACCTGGGGTGCTTCTGTCAGCCCCCTCCCCCTTTCTATTCTGATCCGCAGCCAACCTGCTGCTGGGACCTTACCATCCCCACCTCCTTGAATGAGGATTAAGGTGGGCTATAAAGGAGGGGGAGTGTTGGCTTCCTGCCATGCCAGTCATAGGAACCCCCCCTGTTTCCGCTGCTTTAACAAACACCTCCTTTAAATCCTTTACCAAACCATTTATCTGATCTCTGTATCCCTTCCTTACAGAGTACCAGCACTGGACATCCACCCCACTCTTACATAATGAGTTGCGACATCATAGTCTAACTCCCATTCCATGCTCACCTTATCTAAGGGCCCTCCGAACTTGATGTGGGGAAGGCGAATCCCCCCCCCCCCCCCCGCTTTGGCCAATCTGGCAGTGAGGGATAAATTCTTTCCCAGCTGCCAGAAAAAGGAGTGGCTAGCACAGTGCCCACAGCAGATCCTGACCAAACCTGGTATTTCACCTCTTTCAAGGGTGGGTGCTGCTCCCCTTGGTCCAAGTGAAAGAGGGCTTCTCTTGCCTGACTTATACCTGTATCCTCTCCCCTCTCTTCCAGTCACCTGGGGGATGAGTCCGCGTTCATGCCTCTCTGCTCTTAAAGAGGTATACCCCTTGCCCCGGAAACTCAAACCATGGCCCCTCCGCTTAAGGAGCGGTCATTTTCATGCTACCAGTAATATTTTTCTTGTTTACCTCTTTACATTCAAAACAAGCTGTTAACTAAAATCAAGCCTGATTTCAGATCCCAGCTAAGAAGTATCAGAGGGGTAGCCGTGTTAGTCTCAATCTGTAAAAAGCAACAGAGGGTCCTGTGGCACCTTTAAGACTAACAGAAGTATTGGGAACATAAGCTTTCATGGGTAAGAACCTCACTTCTTCAGATGCAAGAAGTGAGGTTCTTACCCACGAAAGCTTATGCTCCCAATACTTCTGTTAGTCTTAAAGGTGCCACAGGACCCTCTGTTGCTTTTTACAGCTAAGAAGTGTACTTTAAAGGGGAGTGAGAACTGGGAGGAGGGGGTGAGGAATGGAGAAAAACTTAATATAGACACTACATTTATTTATAGATGTTATAAAATGCAAATAGATGTTTGTTTTCTCAGTATCCATTTGCTAGCTGATCATGGCACCAAAAACATGCACATGGTTGAAAAATAACCACTGTGTATGTAATCACTGGTTTCTGATGTTTGGTCACCAAGGGCCCTATGCGGCTCACATGGACGTCAGTGTTGAGACTCCTACTGGCTTCAGTGCAGGAGCAAGATCAAGCCACAAACAAGGACTGACCGTGGCAACAGAGTAAGAATCAGTCTGCCTTGATGTCTCTTGATGGAGAATAAAGCTGATTACCATGCTGGTTTGAGATACCAGTGGTCTCTATCTCTTTCCAAGAACTGTTTGCCCAGAATGTTAAATCTACCAACTTTTATTTATTAAAGCTATGTATTTTTAAAAATGAAGCAATTTTGTTTGTTTTGCTTTTTTTCCTCTCCATTGTAAAATCCTCTTGGATGCTCAAAAATATTTCTTGTTTGACCAGTTGCGGTGTTTTCCAGCTAATGTATTCCTTTTTTCCCACCTGCCCTTCTAACTCTGGTTCATATTATTTGCATTACTGATAGTGTAAGCACAGCTGAGGATGTGTTGTTGATTAATTTGAAGGCCTAGAGCTGTCTATATGCATAATATGAGCAAAAATATTTGCAGGATCATGCATAAGTATTACCTGTTGGGTTTTCTTACTAGTAGATTTTTAAAAGTGATTTTTAGAATCCATAGGGGATTTTCAACAACAACATAATGATGTTACAGTAGAACAAATTGTGGGACTCTGATATTGTGCTTGACAATGTGTTAGCATTTTATGTTGATGCTGAATAAGGTAAAGGAAACAGTCAGATTAAGTGAGTTATGAAGCTTGCAATCGACAGAAGGAATGCTGTTTTGCTCAGTTAGAAATTTTGTTTATTTTTGAAAAAAGAAATATCTTTGGGACAGAGATTTTTAGCCTAACGTTTTTTTACTTGGCCATAGATGCGTTTCTTCCTAAAGCATATAAAGAAATTCTCTTGGAGAAAGCTTTTCTGTAAAGGTCACTTATCTATTAGTCTGCTTTAGTCCTAGTCTAGTCTAACTTTATCTACTTGTCCTTGTCTTGTAAATCAACCATTACTGTCTTAGGTGATTCTCTGGGATAATTACATTAAAAAAATACTATGGCTACTCCTGGTGATTCCACTTGTATCATTACTGGATACAGGATTTCAAAACTAAAGTGGGGTGGTTGGTCTGAGATTTCAATTTCATCATTCACCATGATGCTCTTCAGCATACAGCTGTTTCCAAACAACAATGGTGTCAGAATCGATAACAAAGTAAAGTTTGGACATATTTCTGAATGCAGCAAAGCACTTAAGCAGACTTTTGATTCAGCAAAGCACTTAAGCAAACCATAAGTCTCATTGAAGACAATGACTTAAATTCTTTGCTGAATCAGGGCTTAAGTGTAAGTTTATTTCAAATATTGCAAAACATTGCAAATCAAAATTGTGAAAGGATTTTCCCCACTTCTAGTCCCTATGGATTTAATGCACCAACTGCAGTGATTTCATTGGAGTTTTGTCTGCTTATGCGAAGGCTGAATTTGATTTGATAGCTTTGCTGAGTGCAAGATGATTGAAGACCTCAATAGTCTTCAGCTAATAAACTTGACCACTAAAGTCTTTTGGAGCATTATTAATGACCTAACTGTTGGGTTTTTAGCTTTATTACAGCTGATATTCCATATTGTTTCTAATGTTTTCTTTTATTTTGTACTTCTTTTTTTTTTTTACATTAGCAAGGGAGGATTAATATTTTCTAATAAAAATTTTTCTTCTAAGGGTAGTACCATTAAGAATGGCTAGAGTTGCTGGGTTAGTATAATTGTCATAACTTAACCCCTTTTTTCCATATAAAGCATTTACAGTCTGAAGTAGCAGACTGAAATACTGTAGTAACTCATAGATATTTAGAAATACTTAACTACTGATACAGACATTATGTTCATGGATCACTGGAAATACCATTGGTTATTTATTCTTCTGATTAGATATAGATTTATTTTTAAAAACAAATGAGGTTCAAAATTATAGTGGATGAATGTTACCTTAAAACATCCACCACACCATGAAAAACAGCAAAGCAACATGATTCAGAGCAATACAAAGGAAAAAAAGTGTTGTTCTGTTTGTGAACATATATTGACCCTGAGGAAAATGCATTTATTTTTAATGACACATACCATAACCATCATAAAATCTTGAATGGCCAGAGGGTACAAAGGTGGAAGAGAATTACACTGGTTATTTAAAAAGAAAAAGTTGCTCCATTATCAAATAGATTCTTTTCAGTCTGTTGTAATTCTATAAAATTTCCACTGGCTCTTTAAAATTGGATGAGCTATGACTTTACTGTAAAGGTTTTAGATCTTAACTAGTAGCCTGGGGCCTCATTATTTATTGGGCTTGAAAAGTAGAGTATACTGTCAAAGGTGAGAAAACGAGGGGCTGAAATCTGATGCCTTCTTCCCTTCAGCCACCAGAAAAGGAAGGTGGCCTGCCTCGTCAGGTTGGCAACAAGACAGAATGTGGCCTATTGGGGTTTGTCCTGCAACTGAAGCAAGATTACCAGCCTGTTCGGAATCTAATCCCTGAGGAGAAACTCTACAAAGTATACACGTTTAACTCCGTGAGAAAGTCAATGAGCACTGTCGTTAAAATGCCAGATGGCAGTTTCCGAATGTACAGCAAAGGTGCTTCTGAAATTGTTCTGAAGAAGTAAGTGTACTGTGTCTCTTTGCCTTATTTATTGTGACTTGGAGTGATCCCACAGCACTAAAATATATGGGGATTTTGCCACTGACTTCAGTGAGAATAGGATCAAGCCCTTCTTGTCTTGGTTTGAAGTTGGAAACTAAATAATAGTTCCAGGTAATAGGTACTAACCTTATTGCAGGAATATAACATACATTTTAATGTGATTATTCTTTTATCCTTTTTTAAAGTAATCAGTCTTGCACAATTGTCTGGATGGACAATGTCGATGGTCATCTTTCCTGTCTTCTATTAGCTGCCAAGGGATACTGCAGTTGGCATTTTTCTGCTCTCTCGTCTCCTCCCTCCCCATTAGATTGTAAACAGATGCACTTTTGAAATGTGCTTTTATCATGTAGGGATATAAATCCAAATGTCCTCTTGTTAGCTGATATGAACATATACCACACATTTGGATTAGCAAGATTTTTTTCAATTTGTTTGTAACTTCTTCACTAATTATGGACCTAATGGAAATTACAGTCTAACTGAAATGTCAGATATCTGCCCAACAATTGTAAAAATCATAGGTACATTCTCTTACCTAACATTAGAATAATGAATCTGTTGATTTTGTTTGTGGAGTGCACTAGAAATTAAAACTAACAAAAAAAAAAAGTGTGGTGTTGGATGAAATGATCAGGTATAATGGAAACCAGAAACCAAACAAATGCAATTCACGTCCTTTTCTTACAGGTGTTCTAGAATCGTTAATGCAGCAGGTGAGATTCGTATCTTCAGACCCCGTGACCGGGATGAGATGGTGAAGAAAGTTATTGAACCCATGGCCTGCGATGGACTGAGAACTATTTGCATCGCATACCGGGACTTCAGCAGCAACCCAGAACCAGACTGGGACAGTGAAAATGACATTTTAACTGACCTAACCTGCATTTGTGTAGTTGGTATTGAAGATCCAGTAAGGCCTGAGGTATGTCACAGAAGTTAAAGTGCCTACTATCTGATACTTAAGTGTCAATTAAAAGAACTGTATTGAAGTTGTTTATTTTTGTTTAATGTTCTAATTACCACTGTCAAATTGGATGACACAAAACTTAGGTGCAAACCCTATAACTGAGAAAAGGCCTTGATTGTTCAGTTGGCATTATTTAATTATAGCAAAAATAGGGTTTTATGATCTATTGCAAGAAAAAGGTGGCAAGATTTTCATTTTGTCTCAGTAGATACTTTAGAGGAAGTCAGATCAGAAAAGCTCCCCTGGTGAACTGTCATCTAGAAAATAAGGGAGAAACTTTGTGTTAGGTAATGTGTGAGGGTCCAATATTGAAGTTGTATGAGGAACAGAGATGGGTTCCCCTTGAGAAAATAAGTTGCAGGCATAAGTATGAATTGATATTTGCTTTCAACATAAAATAAATCTACTCTGGAGGAAGTTCTTTTTTCTGTAACAATAATTAACAGCCCTTTGTTACTTTGGCACATCAGTGACTGTACTACAGTTGCAAATGCTGGGTTGCCAGATGGCAAGTTGTTTTTAATATTATGTTTGGATGAAGACAACATTTGTCAAGTGTCTTTGCCAGGGAGAGGTTAGCAACTGAAGGGTTAAAAATCCAAACCAAAAATTCACAGATGTTGTTCTGCCACCATATGTAAAAAGTCGGTTGCATGTGTGAAGTGTCTGCAGAATTATATTTTGTCTTTGGCTGATTTTAGCCTTTATTTGAAAGCTTAAAAAGAAAATAACTTTTTATATAAAAATAATAGAACACAGTAAGAAATAGAGGCGCTCTGATGTCATGATAATGAAAATAGTGTTCACTCCCTTTATGACTACAATGTAGGGGATAGGTTAGGGGATCATTGGTTTGTATCTGATATATCTATATAATGCTTGATTATTAATCATTAAAACAAATGCGGGGAGGATTATTCCCATTTTACAGTTGAGGAAACAGTATAACACAGAGGATAAACCCAAGGTAAATTAGAAATGCTAAGAGTAGAAATAAGGAATTCCCAGCTCCAAGTCACATGCTCAGTCCATTAAATCACACTACTTCTGTGGTATAGAACTAATAACTATAATTCACTTTGGGACCCGACCATCCTTTACAAAGAGAGTGGGATTCTGTGTTGAAGGCTGTGGCAGTCTGGTGGCAATCTCTCTCCTTCCTGTCCTTACATCCCATTTAATTTGCATGATAGATTTTTTTAGTAGATTTCTTAATCATTCTGTTTGAATCCTCCTTGCCTGGATATCAGGTTGGCCGCAATGTTGTACATGTTAGGAAATACTGTGTTGGTTTTTTTTTAATAGAACATCAAATGTACACATTAGGCTGCTCTGAAGGACTATGTGTGAGTCTTATGTTTCCCTGAAATCTGTATAAAGCCAGTATTTTATATTTCTGACTATAGTAAAGCTGTAGAAAAACCCACCTGTGTGATAAATTCCCTATTTCTGCAGTCATGTGATAAACTACTCACTCATGTGATAAAGAACATTTATTTTATCTATCATCACCTGAACTCTGGCCACTAATCCTTCTGTCCCCAAACCACACCTGAGATTCCAACTTAAAACAACTTTGATTTTAAAACCGAAACAAAACCTTCCTGTTGTGTCATAAAATGTGGATTAGGTAGAAGCAAGGAGTCAAAATGGCATTTCTGACAGTTTAATGGTTTTATTGGGCTTCGTTTGGGATGACCTGCATGACTCACTTATAGTTAATGCAGAAATCCTGAAAGCCATACATTTAAAACCTTTATACCATGGCTACTAACGTGTATTCTATTTATAATCTTGGGTTCTAATCACTTTAAAAGCTTATGAATCCCGGGAGTGGGGTGAGAGGGGGGGAACCACCTTATTTATGGAGTGCAAATAATGAAAATTATTCATATGCCCTACTTCAGATAATGGGATTCTGTGTTCTGGAAGATCAGCTTCTGCTTAGCTGAAATGTTAAATCCTGATATAGTTGTTGCATTGGGATTAGAACTTGCATATGTAGGTGCATTGATTGACCTTGCTTCTTGCATATGCAGTATCATCTGTGCTTTAGTTCAACTGAAAAGTTTGTGTTTAGATTATACAGATGTTTCTTAGTGGCTTTAAGCACAGGTTTATTTCCATGAAGAATATGCATGATTTCACTTTTGTTATAATTCTGTATATTCTGTTATTTTTACACTTGTAAAAATTGCTGTCTCTCTAGGGGTCCCAGCTTTCCCCTCACTATCTACTTCAATTTGTCTGCAACTAGACCAGTTCGTAAACTCTTAACTTATTTTGAGTCTATCAGCCCTTAAACCTCAGGGCTTACAGTCAGGGCTGGCTTTAGGCCAATTCCACCAATTCCCCCGAATCGGGCCCCGCGCCTAAGAGGGCCCTGCACCCAGTGGCAGGGCCGCCCAGAGTGGGGGCAAGTGGCAGAGAATCCCTTCCCTGGCTAGAGACACCTTTTTAATTTTTACTCACCCGACGGCACTCTGGGTTTTTGGCAGCACTTTGGCGGTGGGTCCTTCAGACCCAGAGCGAGTGAAGGACCCGCCGCCAAAGACTAGGAGCGCGGCCAGGTGAGTACAAGCCCCACGTGGTTTTTTTTCCTGGGTTTTTTTTTTTTAGTCATCCCTGTCGGGGCCCCGTCGAAACTGTTCGAATTGGGCCCCGCACTTCCTAAAGCCGGCCCTGCTTACAGTCTCCTTTTGTCTCCTTGTTTTCAGAGGCAGCTTGGCATGGGGCTTTTGTCCTTCTGCTATCCCAGGCCTTGCCGCCTCCTCTTTCCTCTCTTGTCTCCCTCCTTTATAGCGGGGCTTGTTTTCTTTATTGGTCACAGCTGTGGGTGCGTGTCTCCATGATTGGCACTCCTGGCAGCTGCTCGGAGGTGTGATCAGCCTTCCTCTCCCTTCTGCCTGTGCTCAGCCTGGGGTTTGTAAATCCCATTACCCCACCCCAAAAAAGATTCTGGCAGCACATCTGCCTGTGGGTGTATAGTCTTCATCTTCCCTAGTAGTCCTGGCAGAACGGAATCCAAAATGACTAAATATCTTAAGAGAAATCTTTGTTACACTGAAACACAGATCTTCCTTTTTCTTCTAAAAATAACTTTGGCAAAACAAGCTGCCTCCCCTGGAGTTAATAACCATAAATTCTATGTCAGACACCGTCCCATAGGTGTCACTTCTAATATGAATTATTTTTTAAATCAAAATATATAGGTTTGATCCTCAACTGGCATGAATTGGCATAATTCTATTTAAGTCAACGGAGCTATGCCAGTTTATACCTGCTAACCATCTGGTGCAATTTTCTAATGACTCACTGAAAGATCTCTGATGTAAATAAAGGGGGAGCTTTGCCAGTCCTCAAATTCATTTGCCTCATCCCTTCTTCCACATAGCTTAAATATTTTCCATTTTATTTAAATATTCTTTCAAGGTGTTCTGTCCCTCTTTTTTAGGTGTGCTGACTTCATGGTAATTTCATCAGACACCTTTATGACCAAAGGTGATAAAATTGCTTTCTTTTTAAAACTTGTAACCAACCTGGAACTCATTTCTGTCCATTGTTTTCTGTGCCCTCTTGTATTAAGGGGTTTGGATGTTGCAAAGAGACTGCAGTTTACCTATGCCTAGCTAATATTTTGTTAGCTTATCTTTCTTGCTCAGAGCCAGACAAAAGCAAAGGCAATTCCCTGTCCGACTGTGTGGACTAAATGTGAATTCAGTGTTTGTGTGTTGCTTTCTTTTCGTATTTCTGCAAGCACTGAAGTAGTGTCAAACAACTCTGGCTTTGATGCATTGTTTATTGATGTTCCCTTGGGGTACTTGTTTAATATAAGATACGAATGGGTACACTTGTTATGATGATGATGATGCAGGACCTGATTACTGAAAATAGCCCATAAAGAAACAGTAGGTAATTATCAAAGGGATATATTACATATTTTTTCCATTCCATTATAGGTTTGGCAGCTTTTAGATGAAATGCAGTGCAGTCAGCATTAGACTTATAGTGTCGGTCACCAAATTGCTTATTCATTGTATAATGAATTGGAGTTGTTTCTGATTTTAATTATTGTGGCTAAGCATCTATAACAAGCTAAAACTTTACTTTTAAAAAAATATTGCTCATTATCCTTATTACTGCTGACTTTGGAAACCATCATTTCATTGTTTAGTGGTATATTTGGTTGGCACTGTAATGCAGAGCTCATTTCACCAACTTAAAAATTATTTACATTTCCTAAAATATCTCCCTTGCACCGTTCTGTTAAGAGACTTGTACTCCCATGGCTGGTGTTTGTTGAAAATCTTTCTGAGCCTGCTCCAGAAAATTACTATAACCACTTTTTATTTAACTGAGAGCGGAGGTTAATTCCCTTTATGCAATTAAAAGATAGGGATAAAAATAGTGTAAAGTAGTCTATGTACTGCTTGATCTTCTGAATTCAGTGGCTAAAAAGATTTTCTTGAATGTTAATAAAATAGCCTATTCAACAGATAATTAAATTTTTGGCCATTAGTCTTGACCAAAACCATTTTGTTTTTCAGCGAACGTACTGAGCTCTTGGATTGTGATTCTCCACTGGTCCCCAAAATTTCATAGGATTTTGGTTTTAAAGATTTTGTTTTGGCCCATTTCTATAAATCCAATAAAATAATATAGTCTTTGTGATAGGCTCTGGGGTTATTACACTTAAATTATAAATAGGAGACAACAATGTATATTTTCATAAAAGAATTTTTAAATATTACAGCGGTTCTGTGCATGAGTGTTACTCATTATCAAAGTGCCCTTAATGTGCATATTACAAATGGATTTTAATGGGGTTTTTTTCTTTAGAATGGGAAACTCTGGGCAATTCTGTTTACAACTGAACTGCAAAAAAAGAATGGTTACCTTACTGTACTGGTGGCTCCTCAAGTTGTTCTGTCCAGGTGGATCCCACCCTTGGTGTG